TATTTCTTTATAATATTCATGCAGCTGTTAAGCGTAACATGGTGGCAGCTTCACAACAAGAACCGTGATCGTGCATGCAGTCATGTCTCCAGTATTCTGTGAAGAGCCAGGATACATTAGGATGTGAGTTTAGAAACTGAGTCCATTCGGTGCATGGAAAGCCCCCTCGGAGTCACACAATGCCCCTCACTGTAGTCTAAGCGATTTGCGGGCTGCCAGCACCCTGCGGGCTTCCCAGGGACGCGTGCTTGTTCTCCAAGCCCCGCAACCCTTACTGTGTCACACAACACTCGCACACACCTTTGTTTTTGAAATTAAAATGTTTATAGTTATTGCTGTGTCCAGTGTTTTGAGTTATATTGAAGCTTCTCATTTCTACAAGTATATCTTTTATGGTGAGAACGACATTTGGGTAAATTCCGAGACAACTTTTCCCATCTTGAAGACCCCGAGGAGCCTGTATCCTTGCTGGGGTAGAGGTCCCAAAATGCAGTCCACAGAGTATCACTGGCCTGGTGAACCATCCGTTTTCAAAAGACAATAGTTAGAAGGAAATACTCAATTTTAAACAGTCACACAAATTTCTTCATAGTATTTAGGATTTGGAAATTTGAGGGGAGGGTTGGGGGAAGGTATTGTAGAGAATCTCTTACCCCTTGGAAAGTAAATGGTAATGCTTTTATAATTTTTTTTTTTTGGTAAACTAAGAATCAGCAATTAATAAAAGTAAGTGTACTCTATAATCAGAGACAGAATGCTATTATTTTCAGGCCAGTACTCCCTAGAGGTGCAAACTGTATTTAATTTAAATGCAGTTGTTTGTCTAATGGGAAGCTGGTAGGGCCTTGCTGCAGTTCCCTGAGGTGGCCAAATTAAACTTGGCTGGCAGCTCCTGTAATCCTCTTGGGCAACTTTACAGCTAAGCCCCAAAGGCTAAACGGCAGGCCTGGAGCTGAGTGTGGCCTCCCCATGGAGGGTGACTCCTTGAGTTCAGTGAGGAAAACCACAGTGCCTGGCAGTGGTCAGCCAGGAGTATGACTGGCCACTCCTTAGGCATCCAGAAATAGGAAACACAGAAAGCATTCCACAAAAAGAGCTAGAAACCCAGGCTGGAAGGAAATGGCAGCACAGGCAAGAGGGCAAGAGTACCCTGGGCGCTCCTCCATCCCATTTCTCTGGGGAGGTTCGTGAGGTGCTTCTTCAACTGTTACTCTGCTCATTGCTTATCCCAGTTCACCGTTCTCTGTGGCATCTTTTTTGGGGAGGAGGGAGGATGAAAGTGACACAGTGTATCTACAACACTAAGGCCACATGAATCAGGTAAGAATGCAGTGACGCTCTGCACGGTCTATGAGAGCGGGCATCTCGAGTATGCATACTGAGGCGCAGATGCACAGACACTCGCATCCGCAGGCGACCGCACCCACAGAGGAAAGGTGGCAGTGTTGGAGTCACCCTAGGATTCTTGGGGGCTGTTTGCCAGCCATCAACAATGCAGCCATACTTCTTTTTCTTTTTTATTGTGGTACACAACTTTTATATTTACAACTCATGAAATTGTTAACTGGTCCTTCATCTAGGCAGCTGTGTATCAATCAGAAAGGACTTCCTGCAAAATGTTATATTGTAAGCCCCCATTTAGAGGCGGCATCCCTAAACTGACAGTTCTTGCTAGAGTTGTTCAAATGTTCTGCCAGTATATAGCTAATGAGTTGTTCAAATGTTCTGCCCGTATATAGCTAATGAGTTATTTTCTATCTCAAGAGTTACTTGGAGGCCGGGCGCGGTGGCTTACACCTGCAATCCCAGCACTTTTGGAGGCCGAGGCGGGCAAATCACGAGGTCAGGAGTTCGAGACCAGCTTGGCCAACATGGTGAAACCCTGTCTCTACTAAAACTACAAAAAAATTAGCTGGCGTAGTGGCAGGTGCCTGTAATCCCAGCTACTCAGGAGGTTGAGGCAGGAGAATTCGCTTGAACCCAGGAGGCAGAGGTTGCAGTGAGCCAAGATTGCACCACTGCACTCCAGTTCAAGCGACAGAGTGAGACTCCATCTCAAAAATAAAATAAAATAAAATAAGTTATTTGGACACAGATCAAAATGGTTTCTCCTCTAAAGATAATATAAAAACCATAGCACTTGGTTTTATATAAATCACGTGGCCAATTTGGCATTATTGATTCTAAATTCTGCACTATGTGTTGAAATCATCTGGCAAGTAATATGTTAAAATCATGCGATGCTTCAACTTCTTTACCCACAAAATGTGCAATGCAATGCCTGTTTACTTAGCCCACCCGCCTTCAGCCTCATCAGCCATGCTGTTTTGTTCCAAGTCACTGTGCTACACAAGCATCTGCCACCAGCACACACACAGGTGCGATACACAGACACAACTTTCTACAAACACGGAAATTGGCAGGAAAAGAAGAGGAGCAGGTTTGTTCCACGTTTTCCAGCCACCAGCCTTCCCACCCCCTTGATAACTGGAGGGCTGGGAACTGGGTGCCTGAACTAGCAGCTTTACTAGGATCTCTCCCTGTCGGGGCTGATCATCAGAGATGACACTCTATCCATTGAAAAGACTCGCCCATCTCCCTGAATGTGCTTACCTTCACTCAGAGGTAAGAAGAAACAATTTTTTAAACTATTGTGTGTTAAGCAGCTGGCGGTATGATCTGCTAAGGAGGAAAAGGAAAGAACGATTTAGTAAACCATTCTTCCAATCAGTCCTGAGTCCTCCCATCCGACTTTGTTATTCTAGCTGAGACTATTCACACAAGCAATATAGGTGAATTCTGTGCTTTTCAGAGTGAATTTTTCCTTGAGACTCACATCCAACCATCTGTTAAGATATTTTCTTTGTTTGAATAGGAGGCATTCCAAACCCAGGTATAACAGAATCCCTGACTTCAATCTGCCCTGCCGCCCCCACCCCACCATCCAGCAAGAGCTCCTCACCTCAGCCGTGGCACTGACAGGGAGGTGGCGCTCAGCTCTGCTCCTCTCATCCTGGCTATGTGCAGGGAGGGGACGGTCACACGTGGAGTTCTGCCACGGCACCTCTTCTTCCTTTAAATCTCAGCATGACACTGTTGCTACAGGCTGTGCACGTTTGGCCCTGAGTTGTAGTTATTTGTGAATTCATCTTATCCTTCATTAAATTTCATTGCCTTACGATACAGGGATTGCATCTGACATCTCCATCCGTGCTCCATGATCATTCTGTTTGACTAATACAATAATCATTTCAGGACCTCGCCACAAGAGACACTAAACGTTCTTTGGATTCACAGCAATTTATCTGCTAAATGTCAACTGAGTCTAGGGGCACAAAATGCACTAAAAACACTAAAGCCTCAAGAAGGACTTGCGGGAGCAATGAAAGAGTGAACTCTGGAGCCACGTAGATGTGGGTTCAAATCCCCTTTGTCACCACTATCACCATGCTCTTGAACGAACCACTTAAACACTCCAAGCTTGTGTCTTTACCATTAAAGGTTAAGTGTGCAGAAGATCCCACAGCCCCAAGTGCTAGGGGCCACCCTGAATCTGTTCCACACAACTGGATACTTTCAAGTAAGCAGTGACACTCCTACCCCCACATCAGCACAATTGGCTGCAGTGATAAGCCCCTCAGACTAGCTATTTAACTTGGAAATAACCTTCACCAGCTTGCTTTCTCATTTAAGACAAAATCAAAGTCTACAAAACAGACATGACTGAAACACCGAGCTCAAAAGGACAAGCACCAGAAGGAACATGGCCCCTGGTATTTCAGAGGCATGAAGGGCGGAAACGCAGACGGCCTCCCAAGGGTGCCAGGAAAGGCTCTGTCTTGATGGAGTCTCACTCCAGCTGGGGCAGACCAGCTCCACCAGGCCTGGGTGCAAACTGATGACATTTCCCCAGCCTGCCTCTCTCTCTCGGTTCTCCTGAGGGCTGTGGTGCTTTCAGATTTATGGCCAGGATCAGGTTCCCAGGCCTCTGTGGGAAGCCTCTACCCATCTCAGAGGCCGTGCCCCTCCTGGCCCAGAGGCATGCAGCCCACACCAGTGTTCAGTAACCCTCCTGTCCTGGTGATGGTGGCTGGAAGTCACAGCCAGCCTGCCAGACTTCCTGAGCTCAGAACTCAGTCTCCCCGAACAGCCCCGCCAGGCAGGGACCACGGAAGGAGATGCCCATTTCCTTCTACTGGGCAAGTAGCCCTTTTTGAGGGATTACTTCATAATCTATTAGGCCTTCCTGTTGTGGTCCCTCCAAGGTTAGGCAAGTCCAGGTCAAGCTTCACAAAGCTACCTTGGAAGAAAAGCGCTGAGGAAAGACACTGATGGAGGAGCCAGTCTTGGGCTGCGCGCCATTTTGGTTTCCATGCGAGTGCCTCTGCCCCATTCACTGTGCCCCAGGCCCAGCCAAGGGCACCTCACCCCCCACATGCCCGACTTGTCCCCAGTTAGAGAGAAAGCACACTGCCGCTTATGCCAGTGGGTTTGTAGTCAATGCTAATTTGTTTTAAAAAATCCTGGAAATTCATAGATCTTCACCAAAAATGACCTAAAAACACTGAACTGTTTATCACTCCACTACCATCCACCACGTGGAGGGAAGTTTTTATCCTCTATCAATTCTGGGGTTTCAGTGGTCTTTTCTACTTGCCTACTTTATTTTTATAGTACCCCTGTTGTGGGCTGAGCTCCACATTTCTACACCATTATTCCTGAAAAGCCCAGCCCCTGGCACTAGGCACTCTCCGCAGTTGTGTGGAATGGTTGACAGTTTCCTTCCGTGGTTGTGACATCACTCTCCTGAGATGACAGTCACTCCCTGCTTTTCTGGAAGGGAAACTAGGCATAGAAAGATTCAAAATTGCTCCCGAGTAAACTAAGGCAAAGCAGTGCTCTTGTGCAAACCTGTGGGCCTGAGCTCTTGTCATTTGGTCGGCTGAATATCAGATGCTATCAATACTTCTAAAGGTTGTGTATTCCTCCCACACAATGCCTCCTGTCTGAAACCATCAGATTTATTTTTATATTTATTAAGCAGTAAGGAAATGAACAGTAAGAGCTGGCAGAGATAACCTAAAATGGTTTTCTTTTGGAATAATATTTTTTAAAAAATCAAATTAACTGTTATCACTTTAAGTTGCATGAGACTGAAGCTACACCTGGAGAGGAATTTAATTTTCATGACATGCAAAACTGATTAGGCAGTGAACTCTTTCCTCCCCCTTCCCCTGAACACATTTATAAACTTCAACAGGGGCGAATTCCATCTAATACTCTGAAAACCATTTCTCATCTCATAATTTACCCAAATCATGTGCATGACTGCAAGAGGAAATAAACGAGAAATCTTTAAGCATAAATAAGCCACAATGGATTGTTCATCTTGTACAGACAATCCAGCATTAAGGCTAATTTGATCTTTTAAACATTTTATGGAAAACAGCTGTTGAGTTTTCTCTAGAAAAGCCCACAAGGTTCCATAACCCCATAGGCATACAGCCTCGACAGGAGGGCTCCATTGGGCTCCTCTTGAACTGGGCACTCCTTCAAGGGAGGCAGGAACGCACGTGTCTTCACTTCCTGCTGCTCTGCACACACGTCACGATATCTGGCAGAAGGTGGTTTCTGTTTTCCTTGGTGACCTGTGGGAAGAAGCGAGAGAGCAGGCTTCAGAGCTCCTTTCCTCTTCTTCAGTCTTAAAGAAAAGCCTGGAAGGCTGGGAGAGGGTGAGGTATGTTTTGTCACCCAGGGAGGAGGCCCAGCTCCTCGGGAGCACTCAGGAACAGGACAGGTATCACTGAGTCCCAGCATCAGCTTCTGCCAAGTGACAGCTCGAAAAGTCAAAGTGGGTTTGGATCCCAGACAGATTTCAGCCAACCATGGGGAGAGCTGTGAAGTGAGCCCTATGGGGCATACCGGGACAGGTGATGGGCACGCAGGACCGGGCAGGACGCCTGAGCGTGACCTGTCCTGAATGGAAGGAACTGAACTGTCGGAGTGAAGCGAGGAGGACAGCCTGGGAGCCAGCGGGGCCCGGGAGAGCAGCCAGCAGAGCAGCAGCGAAGCACCCAGAATTCTGGGATGCTCAGTCATCTACTCGCCTCTCCACAAACTTCAAGTGCTCATTTGAAAGATGGAGAAGTGGGAAAGCCAGAGAAGTGAGGGTGCCTCCGTAGAGACTGTGACTCAGGCCTCCTGACCGCAGTGTGTTCTCCATCACCTACACCATTACCTAAACAAACAAAAGCAACAGAGTTCGCCGGAGTTTTACCCGATGATCTGTTTATTTTTCTTTCACTACCACACCATCCCGAGTGCCCCAGGGTGAAGGAAGGGCCATCTCCGCTCCCATCATGGCGCCTTCCTGCTTGGCCCATATAATATCCATCCGCTCCACACACGCTGATTGGGTGGAAGGGCAAGCAGCAGCCAGGCACGGAGATGCGAATAGAGAAGTACCACAGGTAAGGACCCTGACCTCATGGAGCTCGCAGACCAGGGCGGGACAGGCATGCACGAGGACAATGAAGGAGTCTCGGGGGGGCGGGTGCAGGCAGGAACAGGGGCGTGTGTGGGGGTCAGGGGCAGGAAAGTCTTCCAGGGCTGCTTATGCCTGGACGTAATTTCAACAGGTGAGCCACGGAGAAGGAGCTGAGCCAAGGTTCCTGGTAAGAATGGGGAGTGCATCTGGAAGCCTTCTGAGGTTCAGGGTGGCTGTATCTGAAGAGGGAGCCTGGCATACAGTAGGTGCCAATACATGTCCGAGGAGGAGATGCAAAGCGGACCTCGTCAGTTCTGCTTCCTGGTGTCTGCTCACCCTTCTTGGAAGAGTGCTCTGGTTGTCTTTCGGAGACTGCCCGGTCTAGGAAACTTGCCCCCAGCCAACGAGTGGGCAAGCCAGGCCCTGGCAACCTCTCTGAGATCTGCATCCCAAGAGGAGTGAGCTCACGCAGCCAGAAGCCGATCCCATTTCCACTGGCCCTGGCTGCGTCAATCCCGGGCAGCTCTGGCTCCACTTGAAATGAGGACAGTCAGCTTCTCCTTCGGCTTCACGGGACAGCTCCAAAGCCTGTAAGGCTTTTTGATGCTGTTTTCACTTAAATTAGCCGAAGTCCATTCCTGTTGTTTGCAACCAAGGAATCCACCTGAGGCAGAAAGGAGGCAACACAGAGGTGGGCACCACGGGGGCCCTTTTCGTCCACTCTGAGTTCAGCAGTGATTGCACTAGCTTCTGACCAGCCAGGCTCGGTGAGAGTGGACGGTGACACACAGTTGGAGAATTTGCTCTGGTCTTCCATCACACAGTACGGTGACTACAGAGCAAATAACAAGGTCGTGTATATTTCAAGATAGCTACAAGAGAAGATTTTGAATGTCATCACCACAAAAAATGATAATTTAAAGTGACAGATATGGAAATTACCCTGATTTGATTATTATACAGTGTATGTATGCATTGAAACATCACACTGTACCCCATAAATATGTACAATTATATCAATTACAAATTAAAAATTAATTTGAAAATTAATGAGCAGAATACAAACACTCCAATATTAATATTTTGATACTCCCTTTGATTTCCCTAAGATTATTTCTGAAAATTATGCAGTAAGAGGTTGATGTGAAACTCTCCACAGTATTGTTATGATATTCCCTGTATGAGGAAGGCACACTCCCAAACGCAAGAATGAGGATCACAGCGTCTGCCAGCCTCAGGACTCTTTGCCTTATGTGAAATTCTAGTCTACTTTTTATTCAACAGCCAGAATTTTGGATGTAGACAGTCTTTCCTGAGAGGCTAATTAGAAGAGGGAACTGGGAGCTGGGAACAGGAAAAGGAAATAAAGAACACTGCAGAAAGAAAAAGGTAATCCCAACCATTCTTTTTTTCTGCACTGGAGCCTTAAGAGAAAGGAAGGAAGCTGAGTGAACCTGAACCCCTGCACCTGCCCAGTGGCTGTAGGAGGGCCCTTGGTAAGAATTTATACTGGGCACAGTCAAGATAAGACTGTGAGCTCCATGGGGTCAGAAGCCACATCTCATTCATCCTGTGACCTCCAGATCCAATCCCTTGCTTATTAGGAATGTTGGGGGCCCTTCCCACAGTTTCAAGGAAATGCCTGTGGTTTTGTTTTGCTTTCTTGCACGTAGTTATATACTAAGAGGCATTTCTTCCCCGGCCTGTTTCATCCATGTTTTCAGGTTTGGGGTTGTCAAAGTCAGAACATAAGCAGGACCCGGTACCTCGTATTGCATCTGTGCCCAGCAGATCAGTCAAGTACTATCTCTCGCAGTACCTAGGCCAACCAGATGGGAAGCCAAACTTGTGATATCACTACCTCAACTTCTTCAACAACCAAGAAGCGGGAAGGGGAGACTGAGCAGGGCATACAGCCACTGATCATATCATACAAGTTAGAAGGCAGTGAGGTAGCATGCAAACAGCCTGGAAGACCAGATAATATCCACTCACTGCTGCCAGAACATGTGCACCCCATGGTCTAAACAAAAGGCTTAGTCATACTATGAAGCTGCCAGCTTGAAAAAGATCTAAAGTTGTTGATAACATTGTCAATGTTATGACATTAACTAGAAGGCAGCAAAATCAATCAATGACACACTCATTGGGATACAATGGGATAAAACTCAATGGGATACAATGGTAATAACCTCTTAGAGTTCTGAAAAACAAATTATCGAAGAACCCGTAAGTCACCTGCTATGATCTGACTGTGTCCCCCAAATTTCATGTGTTGGAAACTTAACCCCCATGCAAATAGAGGTGGGGCCTTTAAAGGGTGATTAGGTCCTGGGGGCATTCCCCCATGAATGAGGCAATCCCTCATGAATGGATTAATGCCATTACAGTGGGAGGGAGGGAGTTATGGCAGGACTGGGTTACTGATAAAACGATGTCTGGTTCTCCCTCTCTTTTGTTCATTGCTACAACTCCAGTGAATAGAACAGTACCTGACATACAGTGGGTGCTCAATATTTACCGAATAGATGAATAAAAATACTCCATCACCAATTTCTTCTACTGATGCTTTACTAGGTAATAGGAGTTGCCAAAGGTTGTATCAGTGAGATTTTATTTTCCTTCTTAGGTACTGTTCTTTCTTTTCTTTTTTTCAGCTATTTTTTTTTTAACACATGAGAGAATGTTATCGTTTTGCCTCAACTGTCAAACATAATTCTTGAAAACTCAACAGAGGAAGAAAAGCCCACTACACTCACTCACAGTTTCACTCTTCCCATTGTTCTTTCTTCCTTCCTGATGTTCCAGGTCTCCTTTTACCATTTCCTTTCTGATAAGAGAACTTCCTTTGGCCATTCTTTTAGAGCGGTTCTATTACAACAAATTCCCTTAGTTTTCCTTCATCTGTGAATGTCTTATAGAATTAAGAGTCGACAGTTGCTTCCACACTTGGAAAATGTTGTACCACCTCCTTCTGGCCTTCGTGGTTTCTCCTGAGAAATCTGCTGTCACTCATACTGTTTTTACCCTATAGGTAAGGTACTGCTTTCCTTTCACTGCTTTCAAGACTTTAATTTTCAGAAGTTTGACTATGGTATGTCTTGGCATGAATTTGAGTTTATCCTCTTGGGGTTCACTGAAAATGCAGGTTTATGTCTTTTGCCAAATATGACAAAAATGCAGCCATTACTTCTTCAAACACTTTTTCAGCCCCACACTCCTCTCCTGGTGCTACAATGACGTGAATGTCACGCCTTTTGTTATAGTCCCACAGGTCCCAGAAACTGTTAATTTTGTTCATTTTTTCTTCTTTTAAGTCTGCTCTTTGTCAGGTAATTTCTATTGTTCTACCTTCAAGTTCACTGATTCTTTCTTCTGCCATCTCTATTCTGCTGATGAGCCCAATCAGTGACTTTTTTATTTGGCTATTGTATTTTATAGTTCTAAAATTTTCACTTGATTCTTCTATCTTCTAGGTTTTTGCTGAAACTTTCCAGTTCTTTGCTGAGACTATTTTACATTTGTTTCATGTGTATCTGTATGTATCTGTAATTTTATGAAGCATTTTTTATGATGGCTGTTTTCAAATCCTTGCCCTATAATTCCACTATCTGAGTCATCTTGCTGTTGAGATCTACTGATGCCCTTTTCTCGCTCAGGTTTAGGTATTCCTGATCCTTGGCATGACAAATGATTTTCAGTTGTGTCTGTTGTGTTGTTTCTTAGGTCCTTAGGTTGCTAGTCAGTCAGACTTTTTCTCCTCACCTTTCAGGTCTTCTTATGCTTGTATTATAAATAACATCCACGGTTTCTGGCTGCAATTAGCAAGAAAAATAAACACAAGTGTGTCTACTCCATCTTGTCTAACACTGGAAGAGTTTTCAGGTGTTTTTGGAAAGTACTCTGTTCACCCAACGTTATGAAGAATAAGTCTAGATAATATTACTAATTCGCGTAGAATATTTCCCCCATATCATGAGCTCAGTCTTATCTTCACACTACGCACGTTCTTTGGAAACTACTCTGTTCACCCAACATTATGAAGAATAAGTCTAGATAATATTACTAATTTGTGTGGTATATTTCCCCCTGAGCTCAGTCTCATCTTCACACTATGCATGTTCAGCTCACCGGTGGCAAGGGGAGGCTGCCTCTGACCCCTTTTCATAGCTCATTTTCTTACCTGGAATGTTCTCCCTTCTTTTTCCCATTTCCTCCTTCAAAAGCCCACTCAAGAACCCCTTCCTTTGGACACCTCTCCCCACTACCACTGCTCACACAGATCTCTCCCCTCCCTGCCCCTGGATTTTGATTGCCCCACGGTCTGTTTTTCTTGAGGGCAGAGATCATGCCTCACATGTGCCTAAACCATGGACTAAGTACTGAATGTGAAGGCCACTCTCAAAAATGGATTCGGATACTTTATCGCGTGTATGTGAGCAATGGAAAGAACCCAAAAATATATCTAATCCAACTCCTAAAATGAGGTTCTTGGCCAGGCACAGTGGTTCATGCCTGTAATTCCAACACTTTGGGAGGCTGAGGCAGGCGGATTGTTTCAGCTCATGAATTTGAGATCACCCTGGGCCACATGGTGAAACCTCATCTCTACAAAAAATGCAAAAATGAGCCAGGTGTGGTGGCACATGCCTGTAGTCCCAGCTTTTTGGGAGGGTGAGGTGGAGGATGGCTTCAGCCTAGGAGGCAGAGGATGCTGCGAGCCAAGAGCATGCAGCGAGCCTAGAGCATGCCACTGCACTCCAGCACGGGCGACAGAGACTAACGTTGTCTCAGAAAAAAAGAAAATGAGGTTCTTGATTTATAAAACTGGAAAAGGCCAGGCACAGTAGCTCACACCTGTAATCCAGCACAGATTACTCTGGGCAACAGAGCAAGACTCTGTCCCTCTCCCTTAAAAAAATAAGCTAAATAAAAAAAAAAAATAAAACTGGAACAGAAGGACCACACAAACCCCAAAGCAACAAAAAAATAACAGGGTTTGTCAGCCCCTATCTCTTACTTAATTAACTCAAAGCTAATTGTTTCATTTACAGATCATTAGAAGCAATGATTATCTTGCCTGGAGAATAATTTTGAGTCTCAGAGAGAGGAAGAAATGTGGTATGATTCTAAGACACAAAGTTTATTTCTGGGCATCACATTCAGCTCCCTTCAATCCCTCCTTAGGACTGTTAGGTGAGATTAGTTTGTAGAGCTAGCCAATTCCTGGAGTCTAACATTAGCTATTTCCCAGTCTTCCAGCCTAGAAGCTATCTGACCTGAAAACTAATTTTCTTTCATGATCTTTCATTGCCTCGATTTCCACGGAACTCTATAATCACAACCAAAAATGTAAAGTAAGAGAAGACGACATGAAACTCTGAAGAACCCCACAGACTTTTCAGGGCTCTCAAATGCCACCTCCTTGAAGAGACCTTCCCTGATCACCCTTGCTACTCCTGCCCCCAACTACCACATTGCCTGGTTTCTTTATTTTTGCTTTTATCAGTATCTGAAATTGCTTAACTTGTCTGTTCACATTTTTGGTATCCAGCTCCTCCACTCAAATGTAAGCTCCATGAGAGGAGGGACCTGGTCAGTCTCGTTCACCACAGTATCCCAAGACTTAGAATGACACCCAGCACATAGTAGGTGCTCAATCGCTATTGACCAAATGAATGAATAAATAAATAAATGAAGAAGTGCACATATTTTTCCAAGTCTGGCTGGTCTAACCTTAATGGCTGTTTACCGCCACACTCTAGGATTCTTTGGTGGCAACATGTGGATACCGCCACTTGGGCCAGTGGGCCAAGGTGACATTTTACTCAGTGATGAAAATGATCATGATGGAAGGTGCTCCCAGGTACTCACTCTCCACTCCCCCTGATAGGAGTGGCCCTGCCTGCCTGACTTGTTCACTTGGCACTTGCAGGGCCAGGGAGCTTTTCAACTAGGGGTGGGGAGTGAGGCGTGTGAGCAGAGCTCAGCCAAGAGCACAGCTATCACTGACTCAAATAAACTAAGGGCAGGGGTGGGGGAGAGGCAGTATCTGACTGAGAGGAAAACAGAGAGACAACAGGGAAGGAAAGGCAAGAATTTCGATAAAGTGCCAGCAATGCCATGAGTCCCTTACGACCGGCCCAGACACTGCCACTGGTTAACAAGCCCTAGCCCCTCATCTCTCACATGTGGTCTAGAGCAGTGCTTCTCAAAGTGCAGGAGACCTAAAAACCACGGGAGAACTTGCCAAGAGAGATCATGGGGCCATCCCCCGGAGTGTGACTCCTTGGACCAGGGCAAGGCCCACTCCCTGGTGATGCCTGTGCTGCCATTCTGCAAGCCTCACATTGAGTAGCAGACCCTACAGCTGCACTGGCGAACGCAGCAGCCACACGAGGCCACAGAGCACCTTACATGTGGTCAGAGTGACTGAGAAACCGAAAGTTTAATTCAATTTAAATTTGATTATTAAATGATTAAATAAATAATTCAATTTAAATGTGATTAAATTTAAATAGCCAGATGTGGCTAGTCGCTACTGTTCTGAGCAATGTAGAGAGTACATTTCCCTCACTACGGGAAGTTCAACTGGACGGTGCTGCTCTTCAGCACCTGGAAGCTGTGCCTCCAAATGCATCCACAGCCTCTTCTCCCCACAAGCAGAAGTGGGTCAGCTTTAAAAGGGAAACCTTTAAAACAAAAAAATTTGCCTCTGTATCCCAACCTGGCCTTTTAATCTGAGAAGAAATATGCTTAGAACAAGTACCTTAGCTCAGGCAGTTCTGATGCCAGAGAGGTCCTAGTGTCTGGTGGGGGAGATGGAAGAAAAAAGCAACCAGAATAACTGCGACCGTCAGGAGGCTCTCCCATAAGCGAGTCTGGTTTTTTATCAAGTAGAGGTATAATTTAAGTTCTATACATTTCTAGAAAATTAGACTCACCTATATTTCTGCATGGAAGGGTAAAAATGGTAACTCAAAACCAAAGATATATTTTAGAGCCATCTGCTATTTTAGATCATCTGCTCCATTTCCACAGGTTATGGAGGACTGGCTGTACTCACATTAAACACCTTCACGTCCTTTCTGTTTCGGATTTCTTCTACAAGAGCCAGTGGCTTTCCTTTAGGAACTGGGATTGTGCCAAGGATTATAGTCCCTGGGGTAGACAGCGTCTGACGCACAGCTTGAATGAAAGGCTGACTGAAGAGCTCCATCTTCCCAATCTCGTCGATGACACACACTCTTTGCCCTGGACCACTGCTGCAGTCAGCCTGAGAATGACAAAAGACTTTCACTGGGACACCAGAGTCACATTAACCAAAGGGCCCAAGGGTCCCACTCCCCAGTCACTCACCAACGAGGTAAAAAAGACAGAAACCTTTTTACTGGATTTCAAAAAGTGACGTAGCATCCCACAGACCACCCTGGTACTGTGAGGGAGGAGACTGCACAAGGCGGAGTCCCAGGAGCTGGGAATCATTAGGACTCTTGGTGGCTGGCAGCCATGCCTGCTACCAGTGGGATGTTCAAGGAAGTAATGGACGTAAATTGGAATAAAGTCATGAGAAAGAGAATCTGAGATCTAAAGGATGCAATTGTACTTACCTTTTTTTCCCCTTTAGCCAAGACTCGTTTCCTTTTAATTTTCACTTGTTTCCAACAATGCTTATGGACCAGATCATGAAATACACAAGCATCTGCCCAGAGCAGTTATCAGCCCCCCAGCATGTAGGGAATCTCATATGGCTCACAATGGAAAAAAGAGGCCATCATTATCACGAAAGGCTCCCATGCTTGCTGTCTCATTTCTTTTAAATCGAGGTATTTGGGTGCCACTTATTTTCTGGTTGTACATAAAGTTTGGTCTCTGTCTTGGATCCCCTCTCCCGAATCACTCACTCTGGGGGAAGAGACGTGTTATGCTGTGAGGATACTCAGGCAGCTGACGGTGAGGTCCATGTGGTGAGGCACTGAGGCCTCAGACCAACAGCCAAGAGGAAATGAACCTACCAGCAACCACAAGAGCAAGTTTAGAGGCAGGGCCCTCCTAGTCAAGCCTCAGATGACCACAGCCCCAGCCAACAGCTTGCCTGCAACCTCATAACCCCAGCTAAGCTGTACATGGATTCCTGATCCTCAGATACTGTGTACAATAATGCGCTTGTCATTTTAAGCTGCTAAATTTTGAAATAACTTGTTCCATAGCAACATATAACTAATACACATGTCCTCTATAGAAAGCCTTCCTAGAGAAAGCAGATAGGACTTTGGTTGATTCTTCCCTGGGAGGGACACAACAGGACATAATAAACATAATAAACACTTCAATGAATGGTGAATGACAAATACACCTTATATATGTTTGTATGCATGATTATTTTGAAAACTGTATGTAAAGCTGATTTACAAAGTACTCTTCACTACAGTTCTGATTCCTTAAACGATGACAGCAATACAGTCCCAGAGGGCACGTATGAGTTAAGCTAGATTTTGTTCAAATTCCAAAAGCCTAAGGACCGTATGGTACAGTGTGGCTGGTGGTAGGGATCAGTGGCAACCAGGGACAGCCAGTGACAGACGGGGCTGCGGGCCCAGATCCTAAAAGCCTTCCATGGCACACACAGAGGTGGGAATCTTCTCCCACAGCCGAAAGAGTCTAAGCCAGGGAGGATCACAAGTTGTGCTAGAAAGACTGCTGGCTGTGGAGTCAGAAACACATGTTAGACTCCTTTTGGAATACACAATATAAGACAGTGGGTGTCTAAACCCCAGTTGTGATTGCACACAAGCAGTAGAGCAGTGTTTTTCAGACTTTTAAGTAAGCGGTAGTCTATTTTCCTACTGCATATTGTATGCTTATGAAATATTTTTCCACTCATTTTATTAGCTAAAAGATCAAGAAGGAGTCCACTGTAATCACCCAAGAGAGGTCTGAATAATCTCCACACTTCCGTGTTTCTGACACGCTTCATTTTTGCCTCTCTATTAAGTTTATCTGTACACATGCCTGGTCTCCCCGCTTAGGGCAGGTACATGGTTGTCCTCATCTGCATCCTTCCTGAGGAACTCACCGATGTCCCAGAGCTGAGAAGTGGGGAGCGGAAGGGGCAATGTCAGCCTCCACTGGTGGGGTCGGGGGGAAGGGCAGAGCATCTATGAAGTCAGTCACTACTTATTCCAAGTTTTTCCTCCAAAAACGAAAGCCATATTTGTGAGAAATAAAACAGCAATCAACCACCCGTCTATGATAATAAAAACAGACAACTGTACAGGAAGGTTTCTGTCTTCCTGGGAGCATGCGACTCCAACTGACCTGACTGTTCTCAAGTACTGTGGACATTTTGTTGCCCCCAGAGATGATGAGTAATTGTGGACGTCATTCCTCTGGAGGCTATCATCTAAAAGCCAAAATAAAACTTATTCTGGCACCTCAAAATGACAGTTTTGGAAGGTGCCAAATCAGACAAGAAGTGATACGAAAGAATGTGTGTATACATGCACATGTATTTATTTGACTATATACATGAGGGTAGTAAAATGCACGTGGCCGTGTGTACATACACACGTACAGGTAGAAAGTGCATGGCTCTTCAACAACCAGCCTTCCTGCAATTCTCTAGAACATTCACTAGTGAAAGCTCACTGACATTTATTTAAGTTTCAGCACAAAAGTATTTGGACTCACATGCATACATGACTTTCTACCAACTGGACATTGTCATTTGAAAACCTTAGCCTACATAAAATCCTCAATCTCTCCAGAATTAGGGAGTTTTATAATCCAGGAACTTCAGGAATCTCAAAAATACATCTGTGATTTTTAATTAAAAATGCAAGCTATTCATATTCAGTTGAGAGAAAGATGTCAGATGCTGGGCTACTCTGAAGCACGTAGACACTCAGCTTGCTTTCCTAAATAGTACAAGATCATACACTCAAGGTCTTAAAAAAAGAACCACCAGAGTGTTTAACATGGTTTTATTTCTATATAAATTCAAGCAACTTTGAAGGGAAACAAAGAAATAAGTAAGTAAACATTCACCCCCTTTCCATTGTTCTAAATTGACAGAGACGCAAACTTAGAACAATAGGGGCCCAGGTTCGAAGATGGTCAGGAACCCCTCCCCAACCCCCGGTGTGGGGAGAGTCCTAATGAGCTCCCAGAGAAACTCCACCTGCAGCTGCTGGAGTAAGGAGTGTGTAAAAACTGTGGGTGGCTCTCAGCCACGTGGTCATCATCACGATGTACACACCATCTGGGGTGTACACACCATCTGGGGAGCACCCTTTCCTCCCCTCACAGCCTCTCCTCAGAGGGCAACCCAGGCAGCATTGCTTCCTAGGACCACACCTCAGTCCTATGGAACACACTAGCCTTCCTGGCTGCACCCCTCACAGGCTTCCACTTCAGCTGATTATACACGTTCAGTCACAAAGCGCACTTTTAGTTCTCCTGTTCCGCGAGAGAAGCTATTTCCTTAGATAGAGTCCTAAAATTGACCAGCCAGGGATCAGAGAAGCTACGAATAATTTTATAACTTTGGTTACACTCAGCTAGTTTGCTTTCCAGAAAGATTACAGCAACAAATATCTTCGTACCAGTTATATCAGAGACCTGAAAAGAGTGTGATTTTTTTGAGTCCTTTATTTTTATATATACTTTTAAAAATACAAAGAACATATAAATATAAAATAATTTCATTTAACCAAAATGCCAAACTGAGAGCAAGCTAATCAAAGTGGTCTTTGCCTTATTCTGAATTATCTGCATAATAGATATTTCTAGTGGTATTAATGTTAATTTAGGACTGTTTTATTTTAATATCAGACACACAGACTAGCTCCTGAGCTCACCCATCTGGGACGGCAAGTACAGAAAGTCATGAAAGTGAATTAGAAGTGTCTGTCAGAAGGTAGGCAGCAAAACTGCAGCCCTTCCCCCAAACAGCAGCAAGTTGTGGGGAAGCAGAAAGGCAAATGGTGGTAACAGCAGCCATCTCTCAGTCAGCCCACAATTCCTCACCCACTGAAGTCATTAGCAAAAAGTACAGGGCTCCGATCATATTTTATGTGTGTTTATTCCAAGCCTTCAAGTTTCATAATCCCTTTGCTGTCTGGTGGCATATGGACTGTGAGTCTCCAGGGCACAGCCAGGACAAGCTGTCTAGACTGCCCAGTGGTGCCTGATAGCCTGGCCCTTCCCCAGTCAGGCATACTCTGGGCAGAAGCTGCTCCCCCGGACATGCCAGAGATCCTCACCCCGGCGCACAGACAGACTAGCTCTGAGGCGCTTCCTGGATGTCCTAAATGGCCTCTCGGGACTCAAACGGGCTTACCCACATGGTCACCTGACCAACGAGTGCTTGAATAGTGCCCGTGAGGTTTTCCAAGCTATCTTCAGACTGAAATGACACCTACTGGCTGACAGTCAGTCCAGTGAGATGGAGAGCCCAGTACTCCTTGTCCTCCTCATGCTCTGAGCACTTGGGACTGGCCCAGACATTTGGGCTCCTGGGACTCCATGACAGATTATGACACCACTCTGGCCCCCAGCTCCCTGGCAAACACAAACCCAATTGTGATGGGAGGCTCCTCTCAAGGTACTGCCATCCATCACCTCAATTAACTCCTCAAGAAGACAATCACAGCTATTGCTCTGTTGAGCACTTCCTAGAAGCCAGGGGCCAAGGCACTTTACAAGCATTACATTCGTCCTCTCAGCAACTTCACATAGCAGGTAACAGCATCTGTTTCACAGATGAGGAAATGAAATGAGGCATTAAGGGATTTACTCAAAAATCACTGAGAGCACAGTGACAGAGCTGGAGTCAAACCAGAGATCACCTGACTTGAAAGCTCTCTTCCACACCCTGTGTGCAATACGCTTCCACACTTTCATTCTGAAATAAAGGACAGCATCTAGGAAATTGACCTAACCATGGAGAAACTGCTTTCCCCTCCAATAAGAAGGAATAGCACTCTGGTGTTCAGGGATCTACAGAGGCATACGCACAAAACCTCAATTTATTTGGAGTAATCATATTGCTCTAAATTACTCAAAAAAAGAACTCATATTTTGGGCCTGAGAATAATATCACCAAAATCATTTCATCAAGTATGGAGAGCGAATGGCCCACTGCAGTAGGCAGATATGATAGAAAGTAAAAGGACTTCTCTCCTCTACCAGGAGCACATCTCCGTGCAGACGGTGGAAGAGCTATGACCAGGTATCCTGATATGTCCACCTTCCTGCCATTTCTTTATCACCTGA